GAGATTTGCTGCATGCCCCCTGCTGTCCATAATCACAGCTCTCTGAGGAGGCTGTGAGAAGAAGAGGCACAGTGGAAACCCCGACAAGGGCTCTATACTTGCAAACTGCAAGAGCCCCAGTGGTTCACGCACAGGTACATCAAGCGCTCTTCTAAAACTCTCTGAACAGAAAAAAGCTGGTCCAGTAGTTCTCTTTCACTGATCATAATCCAAAGGACTGCATTTTAGCATATGGATTGAGACCAAGGATGAAAGGCCTCCACAACTGAAACAACTCCTTACCATTCCAAGCAGAGTATAAAAACAAATTCACGATGCTTAAGACCCAAAGGAGATCTTGGTCAATAGATACCAGGTCCATTGTAATACTGAGGAAACAAGTGCAATCTTTATTACCCTTCTTGCACAATTTTTGTGACTAAAACAAGCAAGAACTAGCACATCTTATGAATTTTCAGCACATCCACAACATCTGCCTCAAATACCTGCCAACACTGTTTAATGACAGCTAATAATCATTTTACTTAAAAAATTCAAAGGCACATCAGATGTGTCCCCACACAGAGCACTCCCCTGAGACAATACAGCTACATCACATCCCCACACAACACACACTCATTAACTACATCTCCCACCATCAATCCAACAGCCTCCCATGCTCCCACAGACACCTCAAATTTAATCCCCCTCTCCTTCCCATCTTTGCATGTGCTTACCTGCAGCTGTGCTCTAGCATCATGACACACTCCTGCTTTTCCCCTCTGGAAGCTAGAAAGGGGGCACCATCCCATTGCCTTATTTATTCCCAGGACTCTAGGGGAACATCTTAAATAACCTCCAGGCTTGGGGGAAGAGGGAGGGGTGTTTCCCAGCCCCTCCCTGGCTCCAGGCTTTTGTTGGGCAGAGACCATAACCAGCAGCAGGTGTTCTGCCTGCTGCCCCTGACTGCAGTAACTTGGGCTTCTGCTGTTCCCCCACCTGTAACAGGGCAGCGGCGATTTCCTTGCAGCAGGGATGTTTTCTGCTGTGATGTTTCAGACATGTGGTAGTCAGTGGGAAGTGTGAGTTTTTCCTTTAAGAAAAAAAAACAAAACTGTTCCTCTCTCATACTATTTGGGCATACTCTGTGAGGCCAGGAAGTGGCAGGTGATGCTCTTGGGGAGGCTATGGCTGCAGGGTACCAGTGGAAACTGGAGAGAAGACTTCATCCTGTGTGATAACGGACTGGAGAGGAAAGAAAGGGCAAAACCCCTCCTTTGTCTCTCCCTTTATGGTGTTGTCCTACAAATACCACATCCCCTTTGTGTTCGATGGGTTAAACTGTTGAAAACAAAAAGCCTTCCATATTTACTGGTGTAATCTAAAAATACCCCAATTCTGCTGACAGTGAAAGCAAACACAGGCTCCCAGAGGCTTTCTTCCCTTCCTGAAAATGACGTGCGGTGCCCTGGCTGGCTGACACTGCCCCAAGCGAGATGAGATGAGTTGAAAGAGCAAGCTTTGCTTCCCATCCCCTCCCAACCTCGCTGCACATCACACTTTGCCCCCTGCCCCAGAGCCGCTCCGGAAGGGCAGACCTCAGGACCTCAGCCCCCAGCCGTCCCTTGCCCAGCCGCTGGTCCGTGCTGGCTCTGGGTGCCTGGTGGGCTGCGTGGCTCAGCCAGGTGGTTGCCATGGGCCCTGATGCCCCATGAAGCTGAACAAACAGACTCGTTAGACAGCACAGGACATCTTCTCTCCACTGCCTCCCCTCTGTCCCCAAATTAAAATTAATTGTATTAATTCACAATTTAAAGTAATTTGAGATTTCACTGTGTTTGGGGTATTTTTAGTTGGGAAGATGTAAGCAATGTTTGATGTAATTTACTTATGTTATGCTGCCATAGCTGTAGGGGCTTTTAGTTTACATCTCCTTGCAACGTTAGCAGTTTGTGTTTGCTGGTTACAGTCACAGCCTGAGACTTTTTGGGACAGCTGATTTATTTGGCCAACATAATCCCAGCTGCAGTTTGCATACCGAGTTTACGATTGCTAGGCTATAGGCATTCAAGTGTCTGGGTGCTCGGTCAGGAAGAGAAGCGGTTAAGAGCCAGGCGCGATCAGCAGATACAGCTTGCTTGCCTTCCTCCTCCTCCTCTCCACTTCTCTGCCTCCAGATGCAAACGCTTCCATATTCGGAAATGTGCAACTACGATGGTTTCTTAAGGGGATATCATCTACCTTGACAAATCCATTTAAGACTCTTTCTTTTGTTTCACGTTTTCAAGCATATGTGAACTAGAGAAAAAATACTTCCATCTTACGTCTGCTGGCATGTCTCAAATCTTGTATTTAAAAATTCCACCAACCGCCCAAGGATTAGCTAATCATAATTAATAAAGAAAATGCACTGGCACTGGAAAATGAATTGTCTCCCGTGAGCAGGCAAGTGGCCTTGAGAGGGAAGCAGAAGCCAAGGTTCATGAGATTTTAATCCTAGTTTCTGTATCAATTCCCTGTTTAGAGAGGGATACTTAACTGTTTTGTCTGCTCTGTTCCCTTCTGAATGGGACTAGACATTAGCTTAGTCACTGTGGTGTGTAGGGGATTAATTAGCTAATTCAGCACCTCACTCTGATGATGTAAAAATCTTAAAAGCTTCACTGGAAGAATTTGAAGCTGTAGCCTAAGAATTATTGCTCATTTACAACCTTTTTTGTAACACATCTTGGAAGAGTTAAAGGTGAGGCAAGAGGGGAAGATTTTAATTTTAAATAGAGACATGCATTTCTATTTGGCAAGATTTTGCATCCTGATGGGAAAACGTAAACACCCAGTCTCTGAGCTTGCCTCGATCCATATTTAATCTCAGAGAGTGCTGTGGTGTAACTTTGCAGACAACAGTTTCAGGAAGCATGGGGGAGTAGTCCAGGCTTCCTTCTGCTTTGGAGAAACTACCAGGGAAAAAAAAAGTAGGTGAAGCAGGGCAGAGATCTCACGTAATCTCACATGGAGGACACAAAAGACATGGAAGACAAAGCCACAGAGCAAAAGCCAGCCTTTCTTTTAACAAGCAACAGGGAGATCTAGACAACACTCTTTGGGTTTACAATTATTTCCCCTTTTCCTCTGCGCAGACGTGTTGTTTCGGTGGATCGGGGGTAAAGCCCTGCCTGTGGAAGCCAAGCAGTCAGAGGACGAAGCCTGGGGAGGGCATTTCTCACATGGGAGGAGATGCTTTCTCTCTTTGTGCTGGTGATGCTCTGCCGTCGGGCTGCATCCCACCGCCCAGCAGCCCTCACCCACTCTCCTCTGCCATGGTGCCGCTCCACGGCTGCTCTGCGCTCGGCTTTGGCGTGCGGCAAAGGGAGTGGGTGGGAGTATGAAACCGATGGAGCCAGCGACAGGAAGACGAGTGGGGTTTTAGGAGCTGGTGGAGTGTTAGGAAGATGCTGGAGTTGAAGCCTGCAGAGGATGGGGAGATTAAAAATAGGCTGTAGCCAGCCTTCCCCAGCGTTTCAGCATCTTAGCTGCCTGTTCTTGTGACCCGCCAAAGAAGAGGCAGCAATGGAAAAGATTCTCCTCTTCCACCACCCTAGCAGTGCAGGATGAAATGGTGTTTTGCTGCTAACCAGATCCTTCTGCTCTCTCTGTCTGGTGAGCTCTTCTGGAAGGGTGTAAACCAAGCGTTTCCTCCCCACCTTCAGCCAAACCAAGGGACTCCCTTCTTCCCCCGAGTGCAGCAAGGCACTTTTGGGCATCAGAGAGGAGCTCATTCCCTCACTTGTTACAGCTCTCTTGCAGACTTCCATCCTTTGAAAGGGAGAAGGGCAATTTTTATAGAAATCACCAGACATCATGCTGCAGGATTTTTAATTCCAGGCACTCATCAAGAAAAGCATTTCACAGAACTACATTACCCAGTACCATCCATATTACACCCTTGTACATGCTTTGGCAAAGCTGTATTTGTATTTAAAAACCCGAAAGACAATTCATAATTACAAGAGGCATTGAAATGCATACTTAGATCAAATGACTGAATCTCCCAGCCAACAGCTCGGACATTATAGGGGTCAGAAGCATCTTCTTCTGCTCTTTGCCAGTGCTGTGTATTTCTGGAGATTGGTTGGGGGACAGATGAGCTTTCCTGAGCTGCAGGTTTTGGCTAGCCATGGGCAGAGGACATCAGCTGCAAATAAACGATCAAGCTTGTCTGATGTTGTAAATTCAGGAAGAGTTTTTGTAAAGGCTGCTGGGGTGTAGTTTTTTTCCTCCAGCTTCAACTGTCATACATCAGTGAGATCCTTCATCTGAATTGTTTTAGGAAGCCTGAAGGGTTTTTGCAAGTTTTGTAAGTTGGTCTGAAGTGGAGCCAAGGGCTGCAAGACCAGGTCGCCTGGCTCCAGCACTGGTTTAGCTGCTTCTGCTTTATTAAAACATGCTCTCGGATAACAGTTTCCGAGTGGGTAAAGCATTGTGCAAAGATGCAGTGCCTCATTAGCATCCCCTTTGTGTGTGTGCCCCTTCTGGAGCAGTAGTGGTGAACAGTAACAGACCACCAGACATGCCAGAACCCTACAGCTTTCTAGATCCAGTCCTGCTCTAACTCCAAGTGCAATTTTTCGTTTTACAGCTTCTGTGGAGTAAATATTCTCCCCAAGAGAGAGCCACCAGGCAGAAAAAAGGTAGACTGGTATTTCCACAGACACACAGCGCTCCCTTGTAAACTGCCTACAGCGCATGAGTGGTTACTGTTGGGTGGGGGGGAAGCAGCCAAAACCCAAAGTGTGTTTTTTTCTGTCCTGGTTTTCAAGTATACATACCAGTGTAATTCAGTGTAGTGTGTTTGAGAGAGATATGGCTGTGCCTCCATTTGTCCTCTTGTAAAGTGTTTCCAGCTTCTCAGCATTGCAGTGGGAGCACAAGAAGTGGGATGCTGTGAGAAGTGGGACTAAGGGAAAGAATTTGGCACAAAGCTGTAGCTTTCACTGGGTGTTTTGTTGCTGTTCTCTCCCTAGGAACATTTGTATCTGCTTTCACCGTGCTGTGCGGAGCCCGGACCGACCTCCCCGACAGGCACATGTGTTGTGTCTTCTGGCTGAACATTGCCGCGGCTCTCATTCAGATCCTGACAGCGATTGTGATGGTTGGCTGGATTATGAGCATATTTTGGGGGATGGACATGGTCATTCTTGCAAGTAAGTACAGTGCACTCACCCACCTGACTTCCCCCCTCCGGGGCTGTGCTGCTGGGTCCCAGCCATCAGACTGGGCTGTAGGGAAGAAGAGCCACAGGATGGGCTCTGCAAGTCCATGAGAAACAGAGTAGGCAGAGGAATTGCTGGGAGGCAGTTGGGATGGGCCCTGTGACACATCTGGAAGAGTCTCCCATCCCACCATGTGGGTTAGGATCTTCCTTTCCCCTTTATGTAAGTAGAGGAAGAGGTGAGGCCCCCCAGCATTGTGAACTCTGCTGTCTGGAGCCCTTTCTGCCCTGGTTGCATCCATGTGTGTGTTTGAATGAGAAAGCCCTGTCTCCATCCCAGAGCTGCATCTCTCTGGTTAGCAGGACCTTCCCGTGAGGCTGGGTCTGCTCCCAGGGACCACACGATGCCAGCTGTCCCCAGAAATGCCCCAAGGACTCTCCCAGACTCTCCTGCCTCCCCAGAATCCATTTACCCAAAGGCTTTTGTAAATGTTTTACAGAGTTCATAGGCTGAAGAAGGCTGTTTAGCTACTCCTGGAAGGATTTCCCCTACACCCTTTAGGGAGACTCTGAAACATTAGTCCAAGGGGAGAAAAGAGGAACTTTTTTAAAACATACATAATTTAGGTCACCCAGTTAGTCAACTATGTATTACCAGTTTATACAAGCTCTGTAACTTTATCTGTAGCTCAAATACAAGCTCTGTAACTTCTATCCACTAAAGACTTTTTTCAATGATGGAGTATTATTTTGCACCTGTAGCATAACATAGAGAATAAAGATGACAGCCTCACCTCACAACTCACGCTCCTGATTGTGTCTGCAGGACCTCACTGCCTTTCCAAAGGCTGGCAGAGGCCGGTGGGCATTGTCCCAAACCAAGCAGGTCTGAGATCCTTCAGGCTGGCAGGGCAAGCAGTTCCCAAAGCAAGCGCTTCTCCCAGAGAATATCTTACCAGCAGCTTTTGCTTTTTCAGTTTGAAGGGATTCCACTTCTGTTGGTGACATCTGTGGCTGCATGACAGAGGAGGAGAGAGGATCTCAGGAAATTGCCAGGCACCTGCCTAAAGATTAAATGGATAAAATTGAAAAAAAACAGCAAGAAACCAGGGTATGTCTTCATCAGCCAAACCCAGGGGTTAAACCCTCTCACCAACCACTTGCTAATTTCTGAGACAGTTTCAATTTACAGGGTGAGTTAAGGGCAATCCCCATGCAGGGCAAATGATGGATACTGAAAACGTTAACATAAGTGAAGCAAAAGGTTTTCCTCAGGATGAAGGCAGCATTGCCCTTCGTTTTTCCCTGCAAACCACCTGCCAAGTTTCATCTCAGTTGTACCCACACAGCAGGGGTAGCCCAAGTTATTTCTGGGGATGAATTGTGAATCGGTGTACATGTGATGTGTCTTTAAGAACATGCTCAATTTATGTGTAATCCCATAATTACGTGTTCATAATCATACGCTCTTCTGCTATTCCTCTGCTGGACAGCCTCTGTGTGGGGTTCGCTGTCTGGCCAGACCCAGTTCTGCTGTTGTGGGGAGAGGCAGGAAAACATCCATCCAGCTTTACAGCCACAGCTGAAACCGTGACTTGCTTTTCTCCACAGTCCTGTTCATGTCTGTCCTCTAAGTAGAGGGGCTGGGGCTCAGGAAAGTCTGAGATGGGGATGCTGGAGCCCAGAGGTCCCTGAGCACAGCAACAGCATCTCATCCCGGACCCTTTGGTGGCAGCAGAGAAGGGTAAAAGGAGTCAATGTGTCTTATGTTAGCCAGCTGTGTATAATCTGACAAGTTGCAGCCCTTGGCAGTTTCTTGTATAAATAAATAGCTGCATTTTAAGTTTACTTACAATGCAGAGAAAATAATGGCTAAATAAAGCAGCTGTTCTCTGAAGAGAAGTGATCAATTGCTCCCAGCTGGATCAAACAGCACTGTCAGACCTAAAAGTGGTTTGGTTTTTCGTGTTTTGTTTTCATTTAAAAAAAAAAAATAGCCAAAACTTAAAACAATTTTTAAATACAAGAAATAAGACACTTAATTTACAAACACTTGCTTTGGTTTGGGTTTGTTTGCATGCAAGCAGAAACAATTTGATGCACTGGACAGAAATTTTACACTGTTGCAACTCAAATCTGCATTTAGGTGGGGAAGAGTTAAAAAAAACCTAAAACGACTGCACACCCTCTAGTCTTTGTCACAGTGAAATGTCTGTCTCCATGCTTCACCATAAGGCTGCCTTACGATTTTCATGGGCTAAAGGCAGGGCAGAGGGGGTGGTGTCTAAGCTGATGGGGGCCAGCGGCAGGAGGAGGGTGAGAAGCAGCCGGGGCTGGGGGACTCGGCTCCAGCTTTCCCAGAGGGATGAGTGCCTCACTCCCTGGATCAGGGCCTGTCTATTTGCTGGTAGAGAGCTGGATGGGACTTAATGAGGCTTGTAGCAGTTTTTCCCCTTCTAGTGCAAATTTTCATCCATTAAAGGGGAGCCCTGCAGGAGCCTTCTCCAAGGGGACACAATGTCATATTGTCTTTAATGAAGGTAAAAGGAGAAGCATTATAGGCCATTTTCCCAAACTGCAGAGATCTAAGGATTGGTGTATTGAAAGGTCCCTCCTGAATCCAGCTCTGTTCAGTATTTTCATTCAAGGCTTGACGATGGACTGGAGAAGGGACCTGCCAGCACCGCACCATCGGTGGCTGCAAGGATGGCAGGGACAACGAGGGCAGCGTCCGGATCCAAGCAAATCGAAGAAACAGTCTGAAAAAATAAATGAATGCTGCTCGGAAGGGACAAGTCCAAGACACTAAGGAAGGATTAATCAACTGCATAGATACACGCTAGGGAACAAGTTGTTTTTCAGAGAAAGGACGTGGTGGCTGCGATGAGTCACAGGTGCATGTAGCCAGGGAGGGAACAAACTCTGCACAGGCAGGTAGGAGCAGAGCCTGCAGGACATTAGCTGGTCCTGTCCTGCCCTCATCTCCTATATGGTGCCCTTTGGCAGGATATATCCCAGAAGGAAGATTAATTGAATGCAGTTTTGCTGTCACACTTAAGTACTTTTGGCAGCACAATGGCATGGGGCATTTTCTCTGCTAATTTAAATGAATTGCCAGCTGGTCCCATTAAACACCACCGATATCTTCTTTAAGCAGACATATGGCTTTGGGAACCATCCTTAGCTCTACCTACTGCCTGAACGCAAAGGTAGATAAAAAGGACGCGGTTAATTCTTTTGTAAAAAAGATAATCTGGACTCTCCCCTTCCTGCTGCAAACATCCAGCTGCCCTTGGTGGTGGCTGGGCAGCGCTGCCGCGCTGTGCCCTCCTCAAACCCCTCGTCAGGGCTGCAGGGACGAAGCACAGAGCTAATTAGCTGTCCAAGGCCAACTGGAAAATGAGCCTCCTAAGGCTTTCTGGGCAAGTTTCCCTCTGCTAAAGGCACACCTTGTCCCCAGCCCACACAGCACACCCCTTCATTAGCTGCATCGTGCAGAACGAACGCAGAGGAACGGCCTTTCCAGGAACTCCCCGCCTGCTCGGAGCACATTATAGAAGGGTTTTGTGCCATTTCTTAACAGAAACACCAGACAAATCAGTATAGTAATGTCACACTAAGGTGGCATAGGGGACAGAAGTCAGGGACTGTTTGTCCAGGCATTATTTTGCCTCTAATGAACTCAGCCAAGAAATCCAGCCTGGTTTCTGAAGGAAGCCCTCACTCGGCTTCTGGCCTCTGAATTAGCCTGGGAAGGAGCAAAGGCTTGTGGTTTCACAGGATGGGGGCTCCTGCTGCACCCCCGGCTTCTGCGGCTGGCAGCCGACCCTCAGGGGCTGATTGCCAGCCAGCAGTAAGAAGTTACCTGTAATCATGCTGTCCACTTGTCACTCCTTTGCTAATTACAGCGCTCAGGCCTTGCCAGAAGCAGCAGCAGATGATTGCGTGGCTACTGTACGCTTGAGCTACGAGGGATTTTGGGAAGCATCACCGAGCCTCTCTTCTCTGCAGGGCCCCTGCTAGGGCAGGGAACACCGCTGCCCTGGGAAGGAAAGGGAGCAGAAAGTGCTTGAGAGACTTGGAAGAGAACAACACCTGGTAAAACAGCTGGTAACCCTTCATGAAACAAAGGAAATTCTATGGACAAATTGCCTGCTTAGACTTACTGTGGTGTCTTTTTAAATCTAAATAGAGCCATCCCCCAAACTATGCCTGAGGAAAGTAGTTAAAATACCCTTGTCTTGCAGTTGCCTCCCAAATGCTGTAGTAGGGAAGTTCTTAAAATATTGTAGGACTGTTAAATACCCCCATGGTTTGCAGCACCCAGCGGGGCTGAGGGATGCTGTGGTTGTGAGTTATCTGTGGGCACAAACAAACCCAGCAGCAAAACTGACAAAAAGCCATCAGGTATCATTTTCCCAGCTCTCGGACCATGAACGGCATGCCATGCACTGTCCGGTGTGCTGTGACTTTTTTTTTTTGCTGGCTTCCATCAGCACTTCTCCTTTGGTCAAACCTGTGAAATAGCAATGTCACAGGGGAAGGGGTCTGTGGGAGCGTCGCTCAGAGGTGTTCGTCCATCCAGCCCATCCGACTCAGGGTCGGTGAGCTGGAAAGCAGCTGAGGATTCCCCCATCCTCTTTAAACAAGAGCCCCAGATGAAACGATCCACTTCAAGTACAAGGATTTCAAATAATGTTTAGCCCTGGTGTGAATGTCTGATGGTGGAGCAGCTGTCCTCCGTTTACTCTGCGGCCCCAATTTATCTGTTCTTTACTGGTTCTCCATGTGTTTAGATATATCGTCTACAGTTACATTTTTCCCTCTCTCTTTCTTTCATGTTCCTTTGCCTCCTTTTGTTCACCATCAAAGTCTCACAAGGTAAGTTTGTTTCTGTTCTTCCTCCTCCTCCTCCTCTCACCCCGCGGCCGCTCCCCACAGAGGGCAGCCAGCGCTGGGCTGGGACAAGCCGTGTGGGATTCGCTTTGGCCGGCGCTGCCCGCTCCCAGCCGTGTGCCCGTACATGCGTGTGTGTCTGCCTGTCTCTGTGTCTGTCCTGTGGCTGCACAGCCCTGGGGACATGTTCCCCACCCAGCATTGCAATGCCCCCGGTGCAGGGCAGGGACCCATTTCAGCCTCGAGAACACCCAAAGCATCCACCCTCTGCACGGACCCAGTCCCCGTAGGACAGCCTGTGCACAGACTGGTTTCTTTTTGCCTGAATCTTCCTTGAAATGGTTTACAGAAGAAGTGCAATTTCAAAGAAAATTGATTAAATCAGTGATTTTGTGCACAGGTCCTCAGCCCAACTTAATCTGACCCCAGAGCTGTCTGCTTTACAGAACAGCACCCTTACCTCTATTGCAGGTGTGCTAACGTAAAGCTGCTTCAAACGGAACAGCTATTCCTGTGCAAGAAATGCAATAGCTATTTTTATATATAAACTATTCAATAAGTTAAGTCTGAAGTATTTTAATGAATAAGTTTAGCACAGGACAGGTCATATTTTGGCTTACTTTGGTCACGTAAAGAGACACACAGGCTCGGCCACTGTAACTGGCTTCCAGCCAGTTTCAAAACTGATAGCAGCACTGAAAGGTTTCTATTATTTCTTAATAAAAGGCATGGCTACAGAAGCAAGTTACTGTAAGCATAACCTAGCTTGCTTACTTCAGCTAAGGATTTATGGCATGCCCCAACTCTCTGGGTCCATGTGGTTGGTTTTTATTTTTCACTGTGCTCTCTAAACAAATCAAACCGAGGCTGTAGACAAGCCCATATTACAGGTTTCCAACCAGCTCATCTAGCCTTCAGAGCTGACTCACACTTAGAACATCAATGCATAAGAAATCATCATTTCCCCCCTCCTAGAAAAAGCTGTTTGAAAGAGGTGAGAGTCTTTCTGTTCAACTGCACACAATGGGCAGCAGTGTGGTGCAGGGTGATCCACGCTGATAAGTGTCGTTAATCGCCTCCTCTATTCCTTGTGCTCATTTAGCAGCAGGAGACCCAGGCTGCTAAGGCTGGGTGAATGTGTGGATTTTTCCAAAGTACAGCAAAATTCACTTGCTGGGACCAATTCTTAGCTCAGCAAAAAGTCCCTTAAAGGTAGGGGCTGTGGCACCTGCTGGTATTGTGTGTTCAGCTTTTTTAAGGGACTTAAAAAGCTTGACATAAGGGCTGGAAAGAAATACTAAAAAGCATCAGTGGAAAAGTGTTTGAAGAGTTAAATGTTCTTCTGAGATGTGAAATTTCAGACTTATTTGAAATTCAAAACAAAAATGACAGGCAACTTACATTATTCAAACAAAGAAAAAAACCCTCCAGATTTTTAAAAGGTTTCTAGCTGGAAGTTCTTCACTATTGCAGGCAGTGCAGGTAAGGACAATTTGTTTGCTTCTTTAAAAATGAGATCTTTTCATTGATACTATCATAGCAACAATCCCAGCTTCTCTTAAAAAGAAAGCAGGTAAAACGTCTGGTGAGAGTCATTGCAGCCACCTAGGAAAGTGTTAAAAACAACAGTATTTTTCTTGCTATCCTCTGTCAGCACAAGAGCTGTGGGTGCTCTCCTATTGCCCTTCCCTGGCCTAGCTCCCCAGGGGAAGGAGCCTTCCCCTATGGGATTTGCAGCCTTCCTTGACCACTATGCACAGGATAGCAAATAAAGCTCCATTTTCTCCAGTCCCACCAGACAGCTGGTGAGCCTTGGCAAAAGCACCTGTAATTCTATTGGGCTGGAGCAAACCAAGTGCATAACAAGGCAGTGAGACCATCATTAGGGGGAGGGCCCACAGAGACATCCCAAAGTCTGTGTTTGAACTCTGACATGTCAGTCTGTGATTAAAGGTGTCCCCCTTCTCCTCCAAGAGATCTTTGTTCAACCTACCCAAAGGTGGAACCTGGGCAGGTACCAGAAGCAAATTGGTTGCTTCTGGCAAACTCTGTTAGCAAAAGCCAGCATGGCAACTAAAAGGTGGGTAGAAGAAACCAGCCTCCTCCTAGCTGGCTGTCCTCTGGAAGGCCAAGGTTCAGATGTAGAACACAAGTAGAGATGTGAGCGTGTCAGATGAGCAACCAGCAAGCTGCCAGGTCAGCTCTTGGGAGCAGCAGTGTCTCTGGGGCAGTATATAAGGACATAAATTTCATAGAACCCCAGAATGGTTTGGGTTGGAAGGCATGTTAAAGATCATTGAGTTCCAACCCCCTGCTGTGGGCAGGGACACCTTCTACTAGACCAAGTTGCTCAAAGCCTCATCCAGCCTGGCCTTGAACACCTCCAGGGATAGGGCATCCACAACTTCCCCTATACTGCAGTAAAACACACTTCGATGCAAAATAATTTAGGCAGAAAATACAATATTTCCATGTAGGTTTTAGGTTATTGGACTGTACTGGAGTCAGGGGCTGCAGGTACCTACTGCACCTTTAGAACCTCTTCAAGCATCCACATCCCCGTGCCCAGGAAAGCAGCTGCACCCCATGGGTGCATGGGGCAGACGTTGGCTAAAGCAAGGCAGGGCGGCTCGCCGGGCTGAGCCTGCCCCCCTATTTTCCTGTGTGGTTTGCCACTCCTGGTACAGCGGGCTCATGGCTGGTTTGAGCCTCGCTGAGAGTCCTCGTTAGGAATTAACGCTAATCATGTTCCCTTCCCCTCCCTCCTCACAGGCTACAAGGAACAGGGGATCCCACAGCAGCTGTAGTGGCTGGGACGAGTATGTTCAGAGAAACACGGCGAGACATTTCCTTTGGCAGCTGTGGGCCACGGACCTTTTCATCACTTTTTGTCTTTCTTCTTCTTCCTTTTGTTTTGTTTCCTTCTGTTCAAACCCGGTTCACCTGCCTGTCCAGCGGAGCGGAGGTGCAGAGCAGCCGACGGAGACTTGCACTGATCCCACTGAGCTGCAGAGATGGGGCAGGCACGGCGTGGGTTAGGACTGGTCCCGGCCAGCACACAATGGGAGGCTGATGAAGAGGAGGAGGGTGCCAGGAGAAGGAAACACCTCTGGCAAAGGTGGCACCTGGGCAGGCGGCTGAGCTGGGGGAGCAGGAGATGCTGCTCTCCCTCTCCTCCCAGGGGGAAGTAGCTGAAGATGTTTTCCCTCCTTTTCGCGCTCACCATTAAAGGAAACCGGCTGTGAACATCAAATGCCAAGGAGCTATTAACAGATAAATGTACATTATGTAAAAGCAAACCAGCGGTACTTTTCCCCCACCTCAAGAGTCCATCCTTGACTGCTTTGCAGTAGTGGAGGGCTCAGTCCAGCCTCCTCTGCTGTCTGTGTATATATGATGCTCAATGAAGCTCTGTCCTTGCAGATGTCTTGAGAAACGTGCTTGCTGTAAATCGTATTGTACTGCTGAACTGACTGGGGTTGTCCCCTGCTTCCATCCGCTAGCACCACATGAAGACCAGACCTCCCACTGACCCCTGGGGACACTTTACCCAGCATGGGACCAGTGCCCTGCAGCGCCTTGCCTCTGGGGTGGTGGGTGCAGCCACATGCTGTCAAAAGCTGCGAAGTGTAAAACAATAGTGGGGGAGCCAAAAAAGAGGTTTTCCTCCCTTTCCCCTCAAAGGGCTTGGCTGGCAGCAGCTCCGTGCTTTGGAAATGGATGCCCTTACAGTGCGGCGTGTGCTCCCAACCGAAGCAGCGTCCCCGCTCCGCTTCCCCAGGGTAAGTGCCCAAAGCTCAAGGATGGCAGCCTGGTGCTAACTGGGTGCATGGTAGCAGTCACGGTTGAATGTCCCATTGCCAAATAGTGATTTGAACACATGATGTGCAGAGCTAAACTGGGCATCCCTCGGATCCCAGCTGGTGTTTCAGCAGAGCAAGGGGAGCTCAGCCAGGGGGGACCTGCTGGCAGCACCCAGCTGCTTTTCCACTCCAAAAAGTTGCTGGGAGGAGCCCTGGCAAAAGAGGGCAAAACCAGGCTGCTGCTCTCACCCTGGGAGGGTCTGTGGCTTACAGGACCATATGGATATTACAGAACCAAGCTTTAGTATTTACTTTCAGGTTTTGTTCTATAAAAATTTTTCTTGTATTTGACCTTTCTATCAAATTGGTGAAGCCAAGAAAACAGCCAACACACCACTCCGGAAGCTCTGAAATCTGTCAAATAGACACCGAGCAGAAAAAGTCTTATGTCTGCCTATTGTGGGGATAGATTTTAGTTAGCACCAGACAGTTTCCCACTCTCTGCTTTAGGACAGGAGCAACTTTATGGATTGGCCTTGCTATCGGGGAGCAAGCACCAAATTGCATCTTCCCCAAAGCTGCCCTGCTGCAGTTAGAAAGATGATAAAAACCTCTACTTTCCAATAGTCCTGATTAAAACAAGCACCCCAAGCTCAGGTGTGAACAGCAGCATGCTCTCAGGCAGTAGCAAGACCCCGAGCCTGGTTTCAGGTCTCTCCGTGGCAGGTTGGGATGCAGGATGCCTTGCTGCACTGGTGTGAGCTCAGAATCTGAGCGGCAGGAAAGGGCTGGGGAAGCTGGGGGGACAGATGGGATCTTGAGCCTTCATAGTCACAGGGCCAGGGACAGACCAGGCAGAGCCTGTCCCCTTGAAGGGCTCCCAGGAAGCTTGCAGCGGGGAAGCCGGCAGCAAGCCAGAGGTATGCGCACGGTGCCCACAATCCATGTGCCGGTGAGAAGAACCACACAGTGAAGGCAGAAGCACACGTGCTACTTTGGAGCTATCCTCCATCAGCAACGCTTGTCTTTCTTTTTAGAGCCAAATTCATCACCCAGCGCTTTTACACATCTTTCCGGGGCGCCACAGAGGGATGCCACCTCCTCTGGGACAGCCACTGCTACCGGGACTGGATAACTCACCCCCCACTCCATCTGGCACCAGGTCATCCCGATATCATCATCTGCTTTATAAATATAGATGTTTTTGATGCCAGTTTTACAGCTAAAGAGTGATAGTAGGTAACGAAGAATAAACGCAGTTGCTTCCCCCCCATCCGCCAGTGACACAGTATTTTCCGCTGCTCTCTCCTGAGTGTGAAAACCAGGTTTCTCAAAAAAAAAAAAAAAAAATTTTAAAAAAAAGGCTTTAATGAAATAGTTTCTTGGTACTTGAACCCAGAAGGCTGAAAAGCTGATTTACTACTCGGTGGAAAGCAACTGCAGGTAGGAAGCAAACCAAGTGTCTTTTTGAAATTTGTGGCCAGTCGTGAACCAGTTTTGTTCTGGGTCAGCCCAACCATTTCCATGCAGAGCACATTAACATTTTATTCCAAGTTCATTGGTGTTGCCAAATCCATACTTACCATAAAAAGGTGCTATGGCATACAGCCCCCACTCTCCCAGCCCTTTGCCCCCGACCGTGCTTGCCACAGGGGGTCAGCATCGCTCTCAGCCGTGGTACATGGACAGACATGCGAGGAGCCTCCACCTGTGCCGCATCCTGCGCTTCCCGACACAAAGCCGCGTGTTCCTCCCTACAAGCATCGACTGTCATATGTTTTATTAAAGATCTTTCCATTCTGCTGGAAATCGCCCCTTGTCGTGGTCTTGCTGTGACGCAGCAGGTATTGTGCCAAGCTCCGTGGACAGGAAACTGAAGTCACTGTCTCATTCTTCTTCAAGAAGCTGTTTTATTCCACCCTTGCCTTGCCTCCTGTTCGTTTTGGGATGACCCTGCAGTTCACGTACGCACACACACACTCCAGCCAGAATGTATTTTATTACTGCTTGACCCAAACTGCATCCTCTGCAAGACACCACCAGGAGTTCATTGGCATTTAAAGCCCAGACACAAGAAGAGCTATAAGCTTGGCTAGACCTGATATTCCTCCAGTAAAAAGCAATGGCTTCTCCCACACACTTGCTAACCCCAGCTTGATAACACACCCCTGTATTTTCTAGTTGACTTCGCTTCAAGCACACACACACAACACGTTTTCAGGCAGCACTGCAATTTATTTTCCAAACTGGCACTCAGCATTTCCATCCCCCACGTGGGACCAGGGTGCTGTAAAACCCCAGGTGACAGTGGCACCAGCTGAGCCAAGGTTAGTTACGGTGAATCCCACCCATGAGCCATCCTTCCTTCTCACCCATATTCCTAACTAGAGCCAGGCTAAAAATCAGTCCTGCTTCCCTTTCACCCACCCTTCCCCTCCACCAAAACTGTGCAGTTGGATGTGAAGGCTTCACATATCCTCCCAGACCAACAAGGTGAGGGTAGCTCAATCCCTCTTCCAGCTCTAAGGATGCTACTAGCATCCCATCAAAGGGGATGTCACATTGGGGCTTGGGATCAAAGCAGGGGCTGGCCTCTACTGGCACTGCCTGGAGGTGATGGCAGCACTCCCCCAAATAGACTGCAAGCAGCCTCACCCACACCCCCCTTCCCACCTACCACACACGCAGGCACTGCTCCACGGGCTGGGAGGGGGCTAAGTTGTCTGTTGGTGGCTTGAGTCAGTTTTCCTTGGGTTTGGCCATGGTATCAGGGTTTTTCCACCCTAGGAAAGAGGGAAAGGGTGCATGCCCACCTGTGCCCTTTGCACCCCGATGGTGAGCCCACCTTTCATTTTCATGCCAGAGCCCGCACTGAGGGGTTCCAGAGGACCACTTGTATGCCTATTTATATCACCGAGTGTTGGATTGTGACTTGCTCTGTTTTGATACTGTGGATTTTTTTTTTTTTTTTTTTTAGTTAATATATTCTATTGCTGGACAGCTGGAAGGAAATGCAGAGTCTCTTTGCACAGCCTGGAGAAACCCCACCAGTCCTAAATCAAAATGCGTTTTCCTCCTCCCACCAGCTGGGGGATGCAGAGCATCCCGTAGACACCAACCCATGCTCACATCTGCTGAGGCGAGGAGGCAGGGGCCGGGGCACAGCTTTTATAAGGAATTAATGACCCAGAGCCTTACTGGGGAGCAGAGAGCTGGTGAGGAGCCTTACCTGCACCTCTGAAACAGAGACAAGGGAGGGGGTGAAGCCACCCTGCCATTCCCCTGTCCACAAACCTATCAGCAATCCTTCTCACCTGGGTTTTCTTTGCAGTTTTAACCCTTTAAAACGACTCCAGGTGGGGAAGCACATGGGAGATCCCAGTTGGACCTAACAGGGCTTCCATCGGACATTTTTAAGACAAGCAGGGGTCTAAAGCCTCTAAGCAATTGCTCATTCACACAAATGTCCACAACCCAGCAGCTTTGACCCCGAACACTGGCACGCAGGTAGCTTCCAGGCTGCCACGCTTCGCCTGGCCCTGCCTGGATGCCTCCCCTCTGCAGGACGCTCCTGGCAAATACAGCTTTACAGAGGCAGCTTGGCCAGTGCCACCTGTCCTCTGCACAGGAGACCTCATGCTCCCCAGCTGCCCAGGAAAGCGCAGGCTGCAGCCATCACCCCATTTCTATCCCAGGCAGTGCTCACAGAGGACGGGTTTCAGCTGTCCCCAGGTGCCTGCAGCCCTGCTGGGAAGGGGCCAGCCTCTTGCTCCATCAAAGTGACGGCAGGCTGCAAGGAGTAAACCTTGAGCACAGCTCTCTGGGCTATAGTGGGACTGCATAGTCCCTCGCATGCCCTGCAGCCCAGAACCGACCACCAGCTGCCGCTGCCGGGTTGGGGAAGGGGGGCTCCCTCCCTGACAGGGCGAACCGGGCAGCAGGTCCATCCAGGGGGGTTTCACTGAGGCCAAACTCAGATTCGGTGCAAGACCAGTGAGAAGGATCTTTGCACACCCCCTGGCTTTGACGTTTCTGGTAGGCAAGGCAGAAAGCCCTGTTTCACCTGCCATATCTTTCTATTTAGGCTTCACCCCTCAATGTGTGAAGCTC